TATGTCGTACTTTTTTTTACAGCAGATTAGTTTTCTTAATAAATTACCTAATTTGCATATTGAGTGTTTTATCTTTAGTTGTTTCTCACCGGCTGCAGCTGCGAAATTCCAAACCTGAGCATTCTTAAATTATGCCTTTTGCAGATTAAGTCTGAAGAGCAATTCCTGAGATAGGTTAACGTTGGTTGGACGGAAAACATTTCCCCAGTTTTGAATCATTTTCACGCAAAAACACTATATAGCCAGTTTGCATTTGCCAGTTTTGTGAGGTACCGTTGTGCTCAAAATAACATACTTTTCTAAATTCTCATTTGTAAAAGCTATTATGTTGGTACTTCCACTATATCTTTTGTCTATTTGTTGCAATACTCACACCCACATGTGTATTGGCTAAACGTCATTTGCATAATAATAGATACGGCCTGGGTTTCTTTTTTGCTCCTGTTCAAAAGTATTCATACCCCAAATTTACGTAGTCCATTGTCTTTTCTTAATAGTCAATAGTATAGCGTTTGTTCTTGATGACTACCTCAAGAGGGTTCCTATAAGCGTCCACATACTTTCTGCATGTCTCCTGTGGGATGTTGGTCTACTCTTCCTTGGCGAAAGCCTTCAGCTGGGTCAGGTTGGATGATCTCGTGGCCATCACTCCAGTTTTCGGTTCCTACTACAGATTTTCTATTGGATTTAGCCTAAGTCAGGACTTTGGCTTGGCTATTCCAGTACATGGATACCACTGTCCTTGAACCACTGCTTTACTATTTTGGTGGTGTGCTTAGGGTCATTGTTCTACTGGTAAGTTCAATCAGGTCCAAGCTGGAATTTCTCAGTAGAGGCTTTCACTTTGTCATCTGGGATGTTGATATAATCCTCCTTTTTCGTGATTCCCTGTGTCTTAATGAGGTTCCTGGGGCCACTAGCAGAGAAGCAACCCCATAGCATTATGTTGCCACTACCATTCTTGATGGTGGGGACTGTGTTCTTCGGCTTGTATGTGTGTACTTGCTTTCTCCAGACGCAACCAGTGTACCGTGAATGCCCATAAAGAAGGCAAAGGCTACAAGGCAATTTCCATGCAATATGACGTCACTGTTACAACAGTTAATAGTATCATCAGGAAGCACAAGAGGTTCAACACAGAAAAAAAAAACTCAATGGGCTTGGCAGCAGGTGCAAAGTATTCCCTAGACTCGCCAGAAAAAAAATCTTCCCGAAAGCCAACAACAACCAACAGATCACAACCATGAAAGGGCCTAAAAAGAGGGAGTTGTTTGGCCACATGGATATTGCCTACGTCTGGAGGACACAAGGAGAAGCATAAAAGCCGAAGAGCACAGTCCCAACCGTAAAGAATGGTAGTGGCAACATAATGCTTTGGGGTTGCTTCTCTGCTAGAGGCACCAAGAACCTCATTAAGATACAGGGCATCATGGAAAATGAGGATTATATCAACATCCCGGATGACAAAGTGAAAACGTCTGCTAAAAAATTCCAGCTTGGACCTGATTGGACGTACCAGCAGGACAATGACCCTAAGCACACCACCAAAGTAGTAAGGCAGCGGTTCAAGGACAGTGGTATCCATGTACTAGAATGGTCAAAGTCCTGACCTAAATCCAATAGAAAATCTGTTGAGGAGTCGAACACTGGAGTGATAGTCAGGAGACCATCCAACCTGACCCAGCTTGAGGCTTTTGCCAAGGAAGAGTGGTCCAATATCTCACAGGAGACATGCAGAAAGCTTGTGGACACTTACAGGAACCCTCTTGAGGTAGTTATCAAGAACAAAGGCTATACTATTGACTATTGAGAAAAGTCAATGGACTGTGTAAACGTCTACCGCGGCTTCTGCGTCATCATCATCATTCGGCAGCCACAACCGAGAGACGCGCGGGATATAGCGCCATGCATTTTGTCCGACTCCGTCCGTTGGAGCTCGGAAATTTTTTCTTTTTAATGCGTGTGTTTTTCATTCGTCCATATTTGGAGATTTCCTTGCCCCAACAGAGGGAGTAAACCAGTTGGGAGAGTACCTGTCACTACTGTCTGTAATGATGTAAGCCATTACATTGATCATATCACAGCCATGGTGGACTAGAGAGTCTGGAGGAGATTAGTTTTATTACATCCATCTCGGCTGCAGCAGCCTAATGACGATGATAGTGATGACGCAAACAATGGGGGATGGTCACGCTGCATGCTACCAACCTTATAGCCACGAGTAGGCCTACGGTATCGGATCAACGACGAGACAGAGTCGTGAATTTTGGACCACAAAATCGTGTTTCAGCATCTGTCATCGCAACTGGATGAGATTTTCAGGGGTAAAAAGGGTATTGAGCCACGGGGTCGCATTTCTGAGATCGCTTGTCGTCGTGATCTTGCAGTTGGTAGGCCCTACATGTTGCCAAACAAGGATGCCGCATCTTCATTGCTCGTCGGTGGCGTAACGGGGAGAGGCGCCCCAGCGGTCTGTGGTCCGGCGTCCCCCCCAAGATTTGTGCCCCTCTAGTTAAGTGAGAAGTTCCCATTAATTGGGTCCATGCTGCGTTCACGTGGCTACGCCCATATCTATCTGGAAAAAAATGTACGTCGCAGCTTCACTAGCTCAAGGCATTGCGAGTTTCATGTGTTCCTGCTTTAACACACTGGGAATGTGCATGTCACTCGCAGCATGGAGGTAGGAAAAGACTTTTCCTACGTTCATGCTGGGAGGAAGTGCTTACCATTGTTTTTTTCAATGCAAGGCTACAACAGATCAGAGAAATTACGTTAGACATACCGAAATAGGATCCTTTTGCCCAGCGATCCGTATACCTTTAGCGTGATGGGCCTAACTATATCACTATATGGAAGGCACGCACCAAAGCAGCTGCCAATGTCCCTGCAATTGGTCCCTGCGATTGGTCGATGACCTCCCTCCAAATTCTGAGACCTTGAAAAATATACAGGTATTCTCTTATGTGCACAAATCGTAGTCCATGTTTGTTCTCAGTGCTCCTTGGAAGAAATGTATGCGCCCCATCCTCCAGAAAATTCAACCCGGTTGCGCCACTGACCCGAGCACAACTCCTCCCCCTCCCCATGGCGAATTGTACACGACAAAGACGATTATATTCGGGCATTGTAATGAATATTTAAGAGTTCAGTGGGGCAAATAATTTCATGTGGTGACAGACGAAATGTTCCAACCACGAAGCGAGGTGGGATGGGGTATCCACCTTGAGCAGAAGCCCCCCCCCCCATCAGTTGAAAAGAGCCGTGATAGTCGGGAGCGTTCATTTGCGGATGGGTGCACCACTAGAAATAAATTCCCATAGACAGCAGTGATAAATCCCCATACTTCACAAATATTTTTTAAAAATACAACTCTCACGGGTGTTCAGGCTACACAGAAAAATGATTTTCCACATGTCCTCTTTCATTTTCCTTTCAATTTTCGGAGGGTTGACCAATGAATTTTTGAGAAATTTTCACCAGAAGCAGACCACCCCTAAAATGCAGAAAATGTCCCTGTCCAGAAAGGGAGCCATTTTGAAAACCATCCCTCTGCAAAATGGCTCAAATAGTGCCACTTTCGGACCCGATTGCATCTAAATTGCTCAGAATTGGAAGCCCTGAGTCCGGCCCAGAGGTTTAGTCTCATATTTCTTCAATTACCCAATTCCATGGCTCTCGGGACCCTCTAATATAGAATATTTTGATTGTATAACTTTTATTAATGAGCTCGGCGGCCATATTTCTGGCCCAAATACGATGGAGCACCCTGATACACACCGTAACAAGTGCATAGTCGTTTGTGAACCAGCGAAGGGCAGTTCCGATCAAAGGAGCCACCGTTGCTAGGAAAATTGCGCCCTCTCGAGCTTGTGGCTCATTATTCTCACCATTGCATTTATAAACAATGATTATAAAGTACGTCTTAAACCAGCTCCAACTGAGGAAAATCCGTCTTTCCCACTCGACGATTCCCGCTCACAATGGAAAAACTAAGGAGGGAAAATTGGGCCACTCTTTAGAAGTATTCTCAGCTTGCACGTACGCCCTGCTTTATTTCCGTCACATTATCTTTGCTTAGGTCAACGAATTTCAATCTCTGGAAATGGTAATGCTGTTATCACCGCTAAGGCGGAAACGCGTGTTAAGTATTTAAAAACTGAAAATATCAGATGTTAAATCACTTTGTGACCTGATTTCGTCGTAGAAACATTATAAACAACGGATGTTGCGGTCTCTAAAAAAACACTGAAATGTGTTACGGAAAATCTGTTTCCCTGTATTCTATATGGACGGGAAATTTACAGTAATGAGAAATAGCAACTGGTGGGAAACAGTGTGGTCGTCCTCTTCATGTAGACTTATACAAAATATGCAAGCTCACTTAGGAACAAGTAAAATAGTAAAAGCAACAGTAGGCCTACTTTCGAGTGAACAGTCGGTATAAGTCAGTTACTATTCTCACTCACGTTCTGTATACTCGCCCAGTTTTGCAAGTCAACCTCATCACTCAAACTCTCTGGAGCACTTTTTAATTAGTATCAAACCCCGGCATTGCGTTGCTTTCTTCGCTCGAAATTTCGAATGCTTGGTTTTTAGAGCGATTCTCGGTATGTTTTTCTGGTTTATTTTTGCCTTCGCCCTTGCTATGGCCCTATCTCAGGATGCCCATCTAGATAAAAGGAGTGTTGCACAGACAGAGGGAGAAGAAGTGGTTCTGAAGTGCCAAGAACTTTATCAGAGCAGCCCGCCGTACGAGCTTACTGTGAAACTAGTTCATCTCGAAGATGAAGGCCTGTACTACTGCAACTTGTGCAGTGGCACTCATGTCAACACTTTGGAAACTTTCAAGTTGACAGTTAGCCCCCTGTCTAGGTGTGAATTTCATGCTAAGATGCTTCCGCCAGGGACGAAAGCACGTTTGGAGTGCACACTTTCAGCTATGGCCACGCCTAACCGACAGACCACAGACTCTGATCAAGCACTCTCCTCACAAACACAGACGAGCGCGCCGACACTACCAGGAGGAAACTACACGAGTGTGTCGAGTCATACACCAAACGGGCGTGGGTCAGTCCAAGTGTCCCCCGAAGCAGCAACCTCAGTGAATCCAACGCCAAAGTCTTTCCGTGACAGTTATCCCGACCAACTTTGGTTGAAGGTCGGAGGCGCTGTGACTTTGTGCTTGTTGGTTATTGTGTGTTTCGTTGCGGTAACGAGATGTATCCGAAGAAGGAAAAAGAAACAAAAAGTGTTGATTAGCCAGAACGATGCCCGGGTCCTGTGCGCTTCTCCTACAGAGCCTGTCCCAGAAAAACAATCTTGTAGATACGAAGACCACCCGTCGGTCATGGCTGCACGTGCAGAGTCAGCGGTCTATTTCACCGTATCTGGCGAGGATACTGCGCTGTCTCCTGGGGATCGCAGCAAAGCAACGACAGCATGCGATGCAGAGCCCACGTACTGTAACGTAAGTCGTAGAAGAGAAAACTTTCTTCCAAAGTGGAAGCTTCTCCCATTCCCAGACCCTACAGACTCTCGACAGTGAGTTTATCTCATCAAGGGCAGATGCAATGGGCCGTTGTGGTCTATGCCCCCCTCAAAACGGAATCATTTTCCCTTTGCTCTATGTCGTTTCTTATAAAAAAAAATGTAAAAGCCTCAAAATGTAGCTTCAACCCCTACTAAGCCCATAAAACGTTACATGAAAAACTTCAATTTTTTGCCCCCCCCCAAAAAAAAAAACTTTGGTTCTGGATCCCAGAAACTCCCAGAAAAAAAATCGTGGTGATTTATTGCTGTTGAAGATGTAAGTTAGCAGCTTTAGAATATTATGACCAATGATGTGAAGCCGTTTTACATTAACCTTAATCCGCCATGCCTATACTGTGTAAATCAAATAGCTGCATTCGGTATGTTTGTTTATAATTAAGGCATTGGCCGATTTTTCGCTCATGTATAATAAAAAATTATGTGGAAAGTTAAGAACTTGTGTATGACAAAAATAGAAGAATTAACACCAAAGAATAAATTTATAGGGAAGATTTGCCTGATAGTCATGGACATTGTATGGTGTTTCTGGATTTGTAACATCTTGTTGGTCTATGCATGCAACTCACTTTAAGATGCAGGACGTTGTGTGTGCCAAGCCCGCCATTTTATGAGACTAGGATAGCTTCTTACAAACCATGACTTTCATGTGTTGTGTCCATTGCTTACAATTCTTAATTGATTACCGGTACTGAATTTAGCTCTCCTGATCTTTAAATTTGAAAAGTCACTGTTCTTTCTTTTAAACGTAAAATTTTACCGCGTGCTATTTCTTACCTTGTTCTGTGTTGAGATTAATTGTGTAGTCTATGTATTTAGGGTAGAATGTTATTATAACGTAGGGCCTGTACTTGGTAAACGAAATAACGTGAGTTTCAAGGGGTAACAAAATTTGTAATTCGCATACTGCAGTGGGGTTGACACCGTTGCCAAGAAATACTGTACCAATATGTCTACCATGGAAAACGCACCGGATTTTTAGGAATCTAAGTGTAGTTTTGAGATTTCACTTTCGTGACGAGTTGTTTATGCTTTTGCTATATTTCTACAGTAGACCTGTCTTGCGCTGCAAACTTCAACAAAGTCTGAGCTACTGCGCACACTCATAGGCCCTGATATCTGTTGAAATGGCGTAATGAAAGCCAGGAACGAGGTCGATAGGCCACGTGCTCAGATGCTTAGGGTCGTTACCTTTTTTGAGCATATGAGGACATGGCATTGTGTTCCGTGCAAGTATTCTCTTTTCACCTTTATTTTGTAGGGGCGGCCAATGTTCAAGTGCAGAAAGTTCAGCCTCGGTTGGCAATCGCGTTTGCCTCAAAGCGTCCATTTTACTTCCCCATTATTGTAATATAACTTCTAATGGAAATGCATTTTCTTATACTGTTTAAATGAGATTCGTTAAGCTCTTTTTTAGTGAATACCTCTTTTGGACTTGAGCTAGGGCCTAGTGGCAAGCTACAGTTTTTGCCAATCAGTGGTGGGAAAACAGTGCTTGTAACGTTGCCAACAAGCGGAATGGGGATACCCTGTTTATCGTTTAAGTTGATAGTATGCATACGTATATAGATGAATAATGTTGCGTTATTGACTGAACGAATGTACAGTACATGTACATGTGATCAAGCAACGTCCTCCAGGATGCATTTGATGCGCGGAATTTGGCAAAGGGACCCCCCCCCACATTGTGTCTTCTTTTATGTTGACAGAATCTTTGGAATTCGTTTCAGATTTTCGGGGGGGGGTGTAGTAGGCACAATAGCCTTGAGGTATATAGCTTGTGCATCACATTAGGGAGGGCCCCCCTTTGTCACATATCGTGCTGGAAATACAAGGATAAGCCAGTTCGAAATTTCGAAAACGCGGGGTTATTCGGGAACAGAACAAGAGTCTACATAGGACAGATCTCGCACGTACGTCCCATTGGGGCAGGCGCTGTTGGAATACTGAAATGATTCGCTAAAAGCAATCTTGGTAGCAGTGGGGACGCACATGCTTTTAATAGAGCCTGAAAGTAAAAGGTCACGCAGCGAGCTTCCGGAACCCTCGCGTGGTCCTCCTATGGGGAGTTTACATTGGGTAATCCTGCACGTTCGATATTTTTTGAAAAATAATTCCTTACTGAAACCACCCCATGAAACATTCATGTTGGAATTTTGCCTTTGTCTTCCTCAAGTAATATTTTCTTTATGCACGTTTGTTTTCACTCGCCGTGC